TCATCATGTGCCATGCCAGTCAGCATGGACGGTCAAAGCTGACTCTTACATGATCACCAGTCTCAGATCAAATATGCGTTCTTGTCTAGGTTATATCAAGAGGCTAAGATTTTTATTGATCTGTCTACCTCTTGCTCTTTTACTATTAAACCTGCCAGTTATCACAAATCTTTCACATTTATGTGCCCTAACAACATTTGCAAAACATGTTGATTGTCCAAGTTTGTTCTTTAATCAGTTTATTCTACAGCAGTGTACTGTTTATGGCACTAATAAATTATTAGAATTTTTTTTTTTTTAATGAAAAATAAAAATTTTATGTCGACATATAATTAAAATATTAAAAATTAACACAAAGTCAGATGAATGGCTCAAAAACTTAGAGAATTACTAAAACAGTTACTAGTAAATCACAAATATTATTTACACAAAACAGAAAGACTAAAATAGTATGATAGAATTACCAAAATGGAGATAAAGGAGCAAACTAAGTGAATTCCAGTGAAGGAAGAGCTGAGGAAAAGATGCTGATGATAAATAGGATATACAAGAAAATACAGTACAGCAAGAGAAGTCCTTTCTCAGGAACATACAAAGGACAAGAAATACAGGAAGACCTAGAAACAACGGGAGAAGAGAATTTTAAAAGAAATTAATAATATGGGGAGGATATTTAAGGAGCTTGATGAGATTAGCAAGGATAACTTAGTGTGGCAGGAGGGCTGAGAACATATGCTCCACTGTGAGATTTGTCTTCTTCTCTGTTCACTGGCTGTAAGCTCCGGCAAAAAGTCCTGGATCTTCGTCCACTTGGACTCTGGCTTTGTGCCAGGGCCTGACTTTTGCGTGTAAATCAGTTTTACTGTCATATTTGTGTGCATGCAGTCAGTTGTTTCTTGCCTCTCCGGCAGATGCACACCGACTTCAAAGAAAGCCCCCAAATAGCGACTCCTACTCCTGCTTGTTGGAGAGATAGTGGGTTCATTCTTGTTTTTCACATAATGGGGCCTCAGAACCCACACAGAGCGACTGGAGATTGATCGGTCAATCAGACTGTACCCCCTGGGCTGCTAACTAAAGGTTTACCATACCATCCTGAGATTTTAAAATCCTAATCTGGATGGCAGACCAACAAGGCTGATCCAAGATACCCTGTTCAACCTCCAAAGAAGTTATAATTAGGACACACACAACAGCTATACCAGCCAGGTGTAATCTTCAGTCCTTAAGGACCGTTTTGGAGATAAAGACAAAGAATACACGTTTCATCATCATTGTCCAGTGCCACAAACAGTAAAGACTGGTGTTAATGAATCTCCAGTAACAAAATCTGTGTCTTCCATATCAGTGCCCAGCATTTTAACTAGTCAGTCACTCCAATCCTCAATGTGGCCCTGTTCTATGACAACAGAAAATAAGCAACCAAAAATGGTTTCTACCTTTGACCCTCAACAGGCACCACTCCCCACAAGTCAAGTCCATCTTCTGTCAGGGTCCCAGTCTGTGAAAGGCAAAAGAACAATGATCAAACACCTGATCAGATCATAAAACTGAAACCTAATAAATAAGGCTGGCGAGGGGGCACAAAAGAAAAATTGATAAACTAACACTATGATCATCAGTCACACAACCTGTAGGCATTCTCAGCCAGAGAACCAAGCATCTATGAACTTGTCCACTGAGCAATAATGACAGTATGTGTATTCTATATCACATCAGGAAACAAGCTGGTGTAAAACTGGTGTCCAACTTTAACCAAAATAAAGTGTGCACCAAAAAAGCAAGTAAAATGTCAATAATATCATAAACTGGCAAATCAGAAGATGACATCAATGACAGATTTACGACAGCAAACCAATTCACTGAACAAATGGCACCAAGACTGAGAAACAAACATGTATTAGTAGATACCAGAAGAGCACTCTATCCTACAATTTTCTTACCAATCCTGTGCTATCAATGCCAGACCTGGACAATGACAGGAAAAAACAGACAAGAAAAATTACCATTATAGAGATTTCTGAGAAGGGATCTTAAAATAACAAGAGAGAAAAATTAGAAATGATGAAATCTGAAGGAAAATGGGGGTACTGGCAGTTCTGGATTTCATTAAAAAACAACAGGTGAAACATCTTGGCCATTTAAGCGAATGCCAATAAACATAACATTTAAGCGAATGCCAACACCATAACAGGCAATGAACAATGATAAACAGACCAGACAAGAGGCGAAGAAGAGGTCGACCATGTAAATTATGGATAAAGAGAATAATAGAGTCCCTGTGAATCCCCATTTGTGAAGCATAAAAAAATCAAGCAGTTAACACTTTAACTCTCCATACCCCAAGAGGTTCTGCTAAAAAGCAATAAATACTTAGGTCTGAAAAAATGTACACAGAGACTCAATAGGACAGAAGTGGTTAAAATAATGATAAGAATTAACAAAGCAGGTGTCTATGATAGAAGCCATAAAGTACACCACATTATCTTTGGAAGCACTTAGAAATATAGGGTGAGTTGTTTTGTATTGAAACAGTCGTCAAGTCCCACAAACACAAAAATGAAACAGACTGCACACTGACAAAGGATGCATAAACAGTATTACTTAAGTAAAAGAATACTATAATGTGTGAGGTGCATACCAGAGCTGTACACAACATATACTCAAATCTTTACAGGTAAAAGAAATGAGAAAAACTGACAGTATTTGCCACATTTTGGGGCAGTGTAGGGTGATGATGGAAGAAGGGGAACAGAAATCAAAAAGAGAATAGGAATTTCTAAAACTATCTTCACCAAGATGTGCAAGTTACCGACAGCAAAAAGAGATAAACAACACACTAAAAATGAGAATTGTCAAATGTTTTGTATACTCAATCCTGCTGTATGGTGCAGAAACTTGGACAAACAACTATAAAATCAAACTGAGTCTCTGGAAATGCGGGTATACAGAACAGGTCATATTTAATGGAAACAAAACAGTCCAGTACAGAGGTTCTGGAAAGACTACAAATGAAAACCGAATTACTGTTAGAAATTAAAAAAAGAGACAATTTAAATACTTTGGCCACATTAAAAGACAACACGCTTTTAAAAATCATATTAAAAGAAAAGGCTGAAAGAGAGCAAGAGGTGTGCAATGAGACAAGTGGGAGGACAACACCAAGAGATGGACAGGCAGCAGTCTGAGAGAGTATAACCAGGACAAGAGACACAGTGTGTTAAAGATCCATTACAGCCAACCTTCACTGTGGAGATGGCACCTGATTAATTGAGTGTGGGGGGTAATGTACTAAGCCTGAGGATTTAGGGCTACATGGTTAGTTCAATCGCCATGGGCTGCAGGTGAGAATTTTATTTTTGCCTCTGACAGAAAAATGTCATCACTTTACCAAGGATTTGAACCTGGGAGCTCAGCAATTTACTAATATCTTCTTCTTCTGCTTTGTATTAGTCGGCTGTAAACTCTGGCGAAAGTTCTGATTGTTGTCCACCTCAGAATTTTAATCTTGTTCCAAAACATGAGTGTATGTGTGCATCTGATTTTAGATCTTATTTGTATGCAGACTGTTGGTTCCACCTCTCAGGTAAATGGGCTCAGACTTTGAAGGACGCCCCCAATTAGTGAACTCCCGCGACATGATTTTAGGGAGGCAGTGGATCTGTTCTTGTTTTCCCCACAATGGGGCCAGAGAGCCCACAAAGGGAACTAACATCATCAATCAGCAGGTCCTTTACAGAACCCCACTCTCATCACACCTGAAAGTATCTGGTTCTTTAGCCAATTCTCCAGCCCTATGTGCTTTCATAGGCAATGTATATTCAGTTTCTTGGATCCACTTTTGCAGAGGTCTGCCACTGCCTCATTTTCCGGAAACTGTACCCTCCTTCACAGGTTTTCTCTCCAGGCCACTATGACATTTAACATGGCCAAAATACTTCAGCTTTCAGGACAGGATGCTGTTTATGAGCCAATTCAACTCGATGCTCAGATAATGTAGGATATAGGTATTGTTATTATAATAAAAGTATTAATAATATTTTAAAAAGCATGATACCTTGTCAAAGCAGAACACATTGATTCTTCCACAGAAGTTGATCCGAGGGGGGCTGATACAGAAAATCTTGGATTTCTTCAATCGGCTCTGAGCATAGACAGTTCCCACTGTCATTGCTGCTGGTAGGGCAGGAGGCACAATGATTGTTACAATGTCCAACACTCGTACTACAGTTAATGAAGCACTCTCCTGGAATGTGATGTGTAAGAGTTGTTATTTCATGGATATGTTTAGTGAAACAGAAACAAAAAATAAATCTGTCCTACTCATATCTGGTTTTAGCAGACAGACAAACACACACACACAAGAAAAGGATGGGAAAATCTGTCAAATACGGGCAATTGACAGTAGTCATTGAATCAAGGTTTGTCCACACAATTACTTTACGACAGGAAGAGGAATAATAAATCTCGGTGGGGGTTCTAGGGCCTCATGGTAGGGAGGGAGGGAGGGAGGGTGTGATTTTTTTTATTTTTTATTATTTATTTTTGTAGACCACAATTAAGAAAAAAATATTTTCAACACATTCCATGTATCAGGCGGCCCCCAATTTTACATTTACATTATTTGGGAAAACATACTGTCTTATACATAGAGTTGAGTTGAGTTAGTTATTCAAAGAGCCGACATCACAGCACTCAGGGCATTCCCATAAGCGCTCCATCCCTATCTTCAGCCAGTAAAGAGTTCTGATACTAATGGTGCCAGTAGCATTCCGAATTAAAAGTCTGTCTTGCCTTTCCTCTGTGCCTCGAGCATCTCCCAGAACCTCTCGTCACTTCCCCCCTGCATCAATCTCACTAGACTGTGGTGATCCATCTGCTCCTCCGAACTGCCTATTATACATAGAGAAAAAGGTAAATTTTTCACACAGAGGAACAGCATCACACACAAAATAATTCTCACAAAACTACTCCCATACAAAGTAAAGAAGTGAACTTACGCCTTTGAGAACATAGTTGACCAATGCATAGATCATGCCCAGTGAGGCCACCACAGCAAGGAAGAGAACAAATCTGATGGCATCTCTATAGAATTTAAAATCTAGTGGTTTAGGAAACAGGATGGCTCTGACAAGTTCACCTTTGGCTGTGTTGAATCCTAAAACATATTTAGATCAATATTATATTATAGGGATTCTATATTATTTTATTATCATAGAAAGATTTAAAACTGAATTAAAACTAGATCAGCGAGCTTCACAATATAACAAACACACACAAAATCTGAACTTTGCTGCTATAGAGCCTTCATCAGCACATACATAAATCAAACATATCCACATGAATACACAAAATCACTTAACTCACATACACAGATGCAGCCACGTGGATGCCTCACCAGTGCAATGAAAAGAACACACTGAACTGGAGAATAAATAGCTGCAGAATGCCAAGGGCCGTAAAACCGATGAAACTGTGTTGACAGTTCAGTTCCCTGCTCGTAAGCATGCCCAAAGTAAAAATACAGCGATTTTCAAGAGTCTTACGAACTCTGTCGATGGAATAGCTAAAACTTAATGGCTATCCCCTCCATGTCATGGATACCTTGGTGATCCTGGAAATTGAAGTGCAACATTACAGGTCTCAGGACACCGTTCTGCACATCCAAAAGATGTCTGAAGCTGTAAGCCAATCACAGACCTGGTTCATCAATGTATTTCATGCCACATCTCTTGCAGTTGATGGCATAAATGACACTGCGGCTCATGCAATACAATGCTTCACGTATGTGGAAGGTAGCATTTAGGATTTCAAGTCTTGTCTCCTGAACCACATACGAGCAAAGCAAATCCTGCATATAGGTAGTTGGCAAGAGAGAGTGCCGAGGTAGGACTCAGGATGTAACAGACTCTTGACAAGAAAGTTCTTGAGGATAAGGTCGTGTCTGTAGGCCACTAGAAGAAGTTCAGAGAAAAATTGTGCTAGTGGCAGAGTCAGCCCTAAAGATGGAGAGATGCCTGAGGAGAATATTTTTGGCAAGGATATTATGAGCATGGTAGGTAAGTATGAGGACAGGTCTGTTGTGGTGGCATTTATACTTGATAACGAGGGCCTCAGCACAATTTATAGACCATGCTTAGTGAAAGGCAGCAGATAAGATATGTTCAGGATACTCTCAAAGCTGGAAAAAGTCCCACAATTCTAGGGCCATGTGGTGAAAGTTGTTGTTCTCCTGGTAAAGTTTGCCGAGTCGTAGAAGCTGGGAGAAAGGAATGGAGTCCTTGCAGGAATGAACCAACAAACTTTATTCTCAAGGGGTTATAAATTGGGCACATAGGCCCGTCTTACATTCGGCCCTTCCAAACACCCATCTTTCATACACCAGTTGTATTTTATCAATAAAGCATGTAATGTTCATTTAACAACATGCATATTATGAATATGAAGCAAAAACACAGAAAAGCATGGATGGTAAAATGCATGCACACTCACGCCCGCACACACACATACAAACTCACCCACTTACACACACATATATACCCACCCACCCACCTATATACCCACCCACCCACCTATATACCCACCCACCCACCCATCCACGAACACACACACACTCTCATACACACACAGAAAGACATTTATTTACACACACACACAAAACACACGCAGCCTAACACACAGACACATACAAAGAAACACACAGACACACACAAACCAATACACACACACACACACACACACACACATACACACACCTGCATAGCCACATGCAGACACACGCACATACACAGACATAAACAGTCACACACACTCAAAGACACTAAAGCATTCACAAAAGTGCTGAATATTGCCAGGCTTGATAAACATTTTGTGCTCATTTTTTTTTTTTTTTGGGTCATAGCATGAACATGGGAACTACAAGTTAAATGGCTGTCAATTAAAACACCTAATGTTTTGTGTTCAACTGCATAACAACAGATAGTTTGTCAATGAAGCTAATGTTTGTAGCTTTTGCCTAGTTGCTATTATCATGGATTCTGTTAACTTGTATGTGATTATCATTGCTCCATTTTTAAAGATTAAGCTATTTCTTTCTCTAAAGAACGTTCTAACCCATTACAATAATCATGACTATTATATACTGTGCAGTCATCAGCAAACAGATCACATGTTATACTGAGATGTAATGGACATTGATATAAGTGGCAAAAAGTAGTAGACATAATATTGAGCATATCAAATGCTGACTGGCCTATACAAATATAAAATAGCACCATAATACTGACACATTCAGTTAGATACACTCGAGAAAGAAAGGAAGGAATGAAGGAAAGGAAGGAGGGAGGGAGGAGGAAGGGAGGGAGGGAGGAGGAAGGAAGGAAGGAAGGAAGGAAGGAAGGAAGGAAGGAAGGAAGGAAGGAAGGAAGGAAGGAAGGAAGGAAGGAAGGAAGGAAGGAAGGAAGGAAGGAAGGAAGGAAGGAAGGAAGGAAGGAAGGAAGGAAGGAAGGAAGGAAGGAAGGAAGGAAGGAAGGAAGGAAGGAAGGAAGGAAGGAAGGAAGGAAGGAAGGAAGGAAGGAAGGAAGGAAGGAAGGAAGGAAGGAAGGAAGGAAGGAAGGAAGGAAGGAAGGAAGGAAGGAAGGAAGGAAGGAAGGAAGGAAGGAAGGAAGGAAGGAAGGAAGGAAGGAAGGAAGGAAGGAAGGAAGGAAAATGTAAGGATTAAAAGTACCTGTCCTGACAACAACTGCCGTGACCTTAGCCTGACCATAGTAACGAGTCTGTACAACATGTGTCCCCGAGAACAATGTATGTCGTTTGTGAGTTTCTGGAGAGTAGATCTCCTCATCCTCTTGCTGCAGCAGTTGAGTTTTTGTTACAGGAACACTCTCCCCTGAAGGGAAAAAACCATCATACATCAATGAGTATATTCAACACTGGCAATATTCCATCCTTCCAGATGATAATGTTACACTATGGTACATGGAAGTGTGAATATCACAGTTGATGGTCATTGCAAGTGTGACGATAGACCAAACTGAGGCCAGGCAAGAGGCTCCTCCTCTCCATAGTACAAAGCATGAGCAATAGTGTAGAGACCATGTGTTGCCCATGCAGCATGAACCCTCTCTCTCTGCCTATCTTTTTTACTGAAAAGGAACGGTAAAACTAATATTTGTAGAACAAAGCATGCTGCAGCAGTACTTTGTCTTCCACCTGTCAAAGCTTACCTATTAGATCAGCTGCCAACCAAGGCCCATGCTTCCCTGGGGGAATAGGAGCAGAAAAAGAGAACATACATCTTACCTGTCAGCATACTTTCATTGACAATACAGGTTCCTGCAGTTAAAACTGCATCACAGGTCATCACACAACCGTTTGGAGGGATGGTAATCAAGTCCCCTGGCACTAGCTCATGGTCGTGTTTTTCTAAATACTCTGAAATTTTACAAAAAACAGATATGTTATGCTACTTCAAGTTAAACTATAAAAAAAAATTATTTATAATTTACATGAGAGGATAACTGACTTAGCTCCCAGGGTGATTCAGCTTAAGATGGGTAGCAGGTAATGTCCTCGGAATTATTGCGGCTGGAGTGATGCTAATCACATCACTCATTAAATATCCCTTTGATTGATCTACACAAATATGGGTCTTCTCCTCTTCTTCTTCTTTGATCCTTCTGTCAGAAAACTTATATCAGAGGGCCGGTAGCCTTTATGAAAGCTATTGTGCAGTCCAGATCCTCTTGTGTAACATATAAATGTGTCTTTATTGTGGTTGGAACAGACCAGATTGGGTCACTGTTGTCAGCATAAGGTTTACAGTGTTGGAGCATATGCTCAGCATTTTCGGGTGCCACGCTGCAGGGACACGTCTCCGTGTTTCCTACACCAAAACATTTGAACATATGCTGACTAAGTCTGTTGTGCCCAGTCCTTAGTCTGAATATAATATACACTGTCCTGCTCTAGAGAGGCGATGAAGTGAGTCTTGGGGAGAGAATCTGGTGTGTACATCCAGCCACCTTTCTTGAATACTAGATTGTATTAATATTTCCGTCTCTTGATGGGTTAAAGTCACTATTTGGTTGTACCATGTCACTGCTGCTTCTGGCCATTCTGTCCGCTATTTCATTGCCTTCCAAGCCACAGTAACCTGGAATCCACTGCAGTATAGATTGTTCTACTGACAAGCCTAAGTGTATCAGCTGTTGCGTCAAGTCTACAAACTGAGTGTCTTTTGAGTTAACAATTGCTGGTAGAACTAACATAGCATAAGTCAGAAAGACCACTCTGCTATATTTGCTGTGCTATTGTCCTTTCAGGAAAGAACATGCAGCGAGAAGTGCTTCTGCCTCTGCTCTGTAACTGGAGGAATATGAACCTGTTGGTACAGCCTGGTTGATTCTTAAACCATTTGGGTCTAATAACATATGGGCGATAGTGAAAGTTGAAGAACCACTAAAGACATGGAACGAAAGTTGAACGCATTAAAAAACAAATGCCTGAGGAAACTAATACAGATCAAATTTGCTGAAGTCAGGAGGGGTGAAGAAATAAGAGAAATGTCTGGGCAACCACTGGTGTCAACAGTTTTAAAACACACAAAAATGGCAATATACTGGACACATTCTGAGAAAAGGCAAACACAGAATCACTAAAGAGGCACTGAAATGGGAAATACTGGCATTGAGCAAACAATGACGTCCAAAAGAAACCCTAAAGTGAACACTGATAAGAGAAGCCAAAGGTGCTGGACTGGATTCCATCCATGATATCAAAGTGACTGCAAAGAATAGAATGGAATGGAGGAATACTGCAAGCCCTGTGGGTCATATAATGGCACAACAGAACAGTGAATTATTTTTTTATTTTTTATTTATTAGTGGTCTGTGTAACAAAAAAATTGTATTTTTAAGGATGTTTTCCTGGAATTCCGGCAGGTTTATGACCCTTTTTTTTTTAGCACAAACAAGGTGAAAGGTTAAAACCTGTGGGTAATACAAACCTTGTGTTTCACTGCAAACTTTCATTGTTCCCTCAGCTGTAGACACCATGTCCCTCAGTGTTACACGTTGCTAAACAAACAGCAAAGAGAAATGAAAAATGTTTTAACATTTACATAGGTACAAATATATCAATTACTGGCACCATGAGGCTAACAGACTTCAATAGCTGGGTCAGAAACAGAAAACAGCAGATCACAGAGAGATAGAAACTGTGTGCACAGAAGAGTTGAATGGCAGTAGACCACTAAGGTAGACCAAAAGGATAGTGAACAGATATCCTAGGCAGACCTGCAAGCACCAAATGGAAAGAGATGGTCAATCACAGAGATGAATAGAGATGGGTGACAACTGAGCAGTACCTTAAGAGCTCAGAATTTTGAAAAACAAGAAGAAGAAAAAAAAATGAAGAAGAAATAAAGAGCAAGAAGAAAAAGGGTACAAATATACAAGAAAAAGGGTACAAATGTAAAACATATTCATCTCAGCATGCAAATGGTTCTTCTTCTTTTTCTTTATCTTCTTCATTTTCCCCGACCTCTTTTATCACTACAGGTCTCGAGTGAGATAAAAGGTTCTGCTACTTAATTATCGTTCCAACTTGTTCTTGGTCTACCTTGTGATCTACCTCCTTTTCTTTTCTGGTGTGTATCTTTTATCATACGACATCACAAGGCATTCTTTTAAAGCGGGCATACCATGTTTTTAATTAGGAACTGGTTCTGTGCCAACTTTTACTCAGATGACCTCATTCCTGATATGTATCTCTTCTGATCACTCCTGCAGCCCTTCTCACTTTATCATTTTCATATTAGTTTTTTGTGAGTGACCATGTCTGGCACTGTTTTTCTCACTACTTATGTATGCTGGAGAAACAACAATGCAGTGGTTAGATTCATGCCTGCTGGTCCTAAGGGCCTGAGTTCAGATCTGCATCAAGATGGATTTTTATAATTTATTCACATTCCCTATCAACATGCAAACCAAAAAGGCAGCTGATAAATGTGCTGTTTGTACCAGCTTTGTGCTATCAATGCCAGACAGGGACAGTCATAGAAAAAAAGACAAGATTACAACATAAGAGACAAGATTATCAGAAATGCAGCAGGAAAAAAAGCAAGATGAGATAGAGTCACCAATAAAAAAAAAAGAACAATGGTAAAAGAGTAATTTTACAATAATGTACTTAAATAAAATGCTATCTACATTTGTATCTGTTTTAGCAACCAGCTGAGCTGCAAAATATTTCAATTATCTTGGTGTGCAGGTGTAAAGAGATTGAAGAACACTGTCTAAATGACTCCAATAAAAGTGGAGATTAATGATCCATGGTTTCCACAGCCTAAAGTAAGTAACTTACAGTAACACACCTGTGTGGATTGGGGTCCATGATGCCACTGGGGGTAGGGAGGGGGGGTGTTGGTGTTGGAAACAGACCCACCACCACCTAACAAGCATGTCTTAAATGTTGAGGAAATAGGTTGAAATCCTTAGGCCGAAAAAAAAATTTTTAAAAGCTAAGATATTACAGTCTGACTCTAAGCAATAATACGATGTGCCAAGCACCTTTTGAAAGGTGAATGAAGAAGAAGAAGATTAAGAAGATGAAGACAAGAATGAAGACAAAGAAGAAGAAGAAGAAGAAGAAGAAGAAGAAGAAGAAGAAGAAGAAGAAGAAGAGGAAGAGGAGGAGGAGGAGGAGAAGAAAAGGAAGAAGAAAAGGAGGAGAAGAGGAGGAGGAGGAAGAAGAAGAAAACACACTTAATAAATATGAAACCTTTACAACTTGCATCATCATCATCATTACATTTTTGTGCCATTATACATTATATGTGCTCATAGTCTATTCTTCTATCCTCATCTCCTCAATCCATTTGTTTCCCCATGCTCTCTATTCACTTCTTTCCAGGATGTGCGCATTACATCCCCATCTTCTTTGTCTTATAACTGTTGATACTATTGGTTCTCCAGATATTTACTATTATTTCTTCACATGTCTTCAGTTCATCCCATTTGAAGTTCATCAATTTCCTCAGGCAAATATTTCTGAACATTTTGCTCAATGTCTTTAGTGGTTCTCTAACTTTCACTGGCATCTTTTACAAACGAAATTACATTAGAATTGCAAAAGCATAATTGTTTTAAAACTATATAAATTAGTTTCATATTCTGTTCAGGCTTTTTTATAGGGTGCTGTTGTCAATGTATTTTGTCAGGCTTTTATAGGGTGCTGTTATCAATGTATTTACAACTGTATGTATGCTATAATTATGACTAAGTGAAGGCTTCTATTATGACAGTTCTGTAAATAATTTTCAGAGATGTACATACCCGTCGGGTCTCCCTGAGAGAAATACCGATTGATAGAGCAGAGATGAAAAAAATACACCCAGCATAGTAGTAATAATGATCGACGGCCCAGAGAATGATGCTAGCTATTTGGAAGATGTAGAATGGGTTCAACACCTGGAACAATCATTTAGAAGAAAACAACTGGCTAATTGTCCAAAATCTTTAGTTACATAAATACTTGAAAATATTCATTTAAACAGATAGCCAAAAACAGTTAAATAGGTAAAAAATGTGACAATAAATAAATAGTTTTAAACCAATTTGTCAGGTAGGTCCAACTCACTCAGTTAATCAAGCCATAAAACACTTCTTACACAGATTTTTAACAAATAGTTACACTAGGTCTAAAACATTAAACAGGTAGTAAAAGAAACAAAAAAAAGTTAAACAATTCCTACAAATTTAAGTTTACACATTCAGTAAAGACTATTCTAATACTTTTCAGTTAAACAAATCAAAACCATTTGAATATATTCAGTTATACAAGTCTAAAACATTCAGTTAAGCTCCAAACGCTCAATAACAGATATAA